GACGAAGAGGCAAGGGTAATGAAGAAGGAAGTTCAAGCTGCTCTGAAGAAATTGGCAGAAAAAAGAAAGACCCCAGGAATTAATGCCATACCAACTGACTTATTTCAGTAAACAAGATACTACACTGGACATGCTCACCAAGTCATGTCAAGAAATTCGGAGGACAGCCACCTAATCAGCTGACTAGAAGAGATCCATATTTATTCCCATTCAAAAAAAAAAAAAGACTAACCAACAGCACATGTAAATTATTGAACAATATCACTATCACACACAAGCAAAATCTTGCAGAAGATTATCCAAAAACTACTGGAATAATACATCATCAGAGAATACTAGAAATACAGGCTGGGTTTAAAAGAGGACATGGCACTAGGGACATCATTGCCAATGTCAGATGGATCTTGGCTGAAAGAAGAGAGTACCAGAAGAATGTCTATCAATGTTGACTATGCAAAAGCAATTGACTGTGTGGGTCACAACAACTTGTGGGTAACCTTGAGAAGAATGGGAATTCCAGAACACTTGATTATGCTCAGATGAAACCTTGGACCATGAAGCATTCATCAGAACAGAGCAAGGAAACACGGCATGGTTCAAAATCAGGAAAGGAGTGTGTCAAGGATTTATCTTGTCTCCATACCTTTTCAATCTATATGCAGAACAGATATTAATTATATTGTTCAGTAATCAGCATCCTGTTAGGTCATTTTTAAAATTTTTTTATTATACCAGTTTATTTACAAAATGGTTTTCCAGATCATATTGGAAACAAATATGGATCTCTTCTAGTCAACTGTGAAGCAATACAGAGATAAAGAAATTCTAGGTAAGTTGAAAATGTGAATTAAACAAATGAGGGAAGATGACAAAAGTAGAGTGCTTAAAGAAAGCAGAGAATATTTTTTAAATGACAATAGAATAAAAAAATATGTGTGTGTGCATGGATTTCTTACCAGCATTCCTTAAACAATAATACAAATCCAATCAAAGGAACTATTACTGTCAAATGGGTCAACTGCTATGAGAAGTGATGTTCCATAAATTGAATGAGCCAACGACCTTCCATGTTAGTCACTGTATACCACCTTTCCTCAGGCAAGGACTTATTATCACTTTCTAAATCTCCTACATCTGTGAAGTTCTAATTTTCCAACCCTCAATTCCTTGTATCATCCATATCTATTCCTTCTTAAGAATCCTTCCTTTACCCTACCCTTAACTTGGGTATTTTCAAATTTTCCTCAGTCCTAAACACTAAGCTCTAGAAGATATTCTAAAGCAATATCTTCTCATGCTATTCAGCCTTACTCTTACTCACCCCAGTAGTTTACTATATCTTTGCTGCCCAGACTGTGCTTCATCTGGCAAGCAAGTCCAACTAAATCCTCAGTTGTCATATTCCAATTTACCCAAAGCATGAGGAGTGATATTTTCTTGTTTAATGACCATGCTCATCCAGCATGACTACTTCCTAAAAAAATGTCGAGTAGAAGCCATTACATTACAAACCAGTAATAGTTGGAAAGGACTGAGAGTGGGGCTATTGGAAAGCCAGGTCCACAGTATAACACACAGTAATTTTTCAGATGAGAACTATAGCAGTTAGTTTAACCCAAAACCTCATTTCCATTGTTTATCCTGATGCCTAGCAACAATAAAGAACAGAGTAGAACTCCCATCATACAGTTTCTAAAGCTGTAATATTTACAGAAACAGACTTCCACATTCTTCTTCTGCAAAGTGACTGTAGGGTTCAAACAACAAACCTTTCTGTTAGCAGCTGCATATTTAACAACTGTTCCATCAATGACCCTCCCATGCAGCTTAAGAGCTTCTTCTTGTTGTTAGCTGTCATCAAGTTGACTCAGACTCTCAGCAACCCTCACTATAACAGGACCAAATTCTATTCAATCTCTATTGTGCTTAAGCCAGATTGTTATAGTCACTGTCAATGATTCACACTGAGAATCTTCCACTCTTTGCTGACCCTCTACGTGTCCAAGAATAATGTCTTTTTTCCAAGGACTGGCCTCCTCATGACAAAATTCCCAGAATTTGTGAGACCTGTATATTAAAAATGCAGTTATCTTTCCCCCTCTACCAAAAAATAACCTTACATGTATGGTCAGTAGATCTCTCTCTCTCTCTCTCTCTTTTAAGAGTATTTGCAATAAATAAGTCATTATTATTCAGAATTCTATCATGAAACGTCCATCTTCATTTCTACCACCAAAGCCATTTTTCTAATCCTTCTTTGTTTTTAACTTTGGAACTCTAGTGCCCACTTCCATCTTCATTACATTTTTTATCAATTTCAGATTGCAGAAGTCAAGTAAATATAATTACAATTACTTATATTTTCCTTTTTAAGCTTTAGAGGTTTGTGTATAAATTTGAGTAATAGTCATTTTAACAGGTCTTCCTGGTATGCATAGAAATATTATCAAATCACTTACAGTTTCGTGCTTCAGTGTAAATTTTGAAATGTTATTTACGATAATAAATACAACACTATTTCTCTTTAATTTGTCATTCCTGGCATAGACATATAATTTTTTTTGTTCAATGTAGCCAATAATAGTATATTTTAGTGCACTGATGATTTTTTGTCTTTTACAAATCCAATTTGAATTTTCCTAATTTCGTATTTTGTGCATCTCACATTTCATTATTCGTGGATGTTTGGAGCTGTTTCTACTCATTTTGAGGTATGACAGATCAGTAAATATAGGTGGTTCATTGGGTGAAAGTTTTACTACATTCATATGAGTAAGATAGACTCTATTTGAGGAAGACATTTTCCTGCAGTCATATTTTTAATGTCTCCCAACCCAGGAGGCTCATCTTCTGGTACTACATTAGATGAAATATCTGGTGCTACCAATAGTTTTCTGTTCAATTAATTCAGAAATGGATAGTTAATTTTATTTAACTGTCTTAGTCTAAAAACTCTACTGAAACCTACTTACCATGGGTGACCCTTATGCGATTTGGATTGCTGGTGGCAAAGCTTCCAGTATCATAGTAACATGCAAGCCACCACAGCATGACGATCTGGCAGATGAGTAGTGTACATATACTTGCTGGGCGGAATATACAACTACATCTGTGGGAGTCCTGATTGCACAGTTCATAGGAATTTGAGCAACTAATCCACAGGCTGCTCTTCTGTAACAATTCTAATTCGCCAGAGGCTCCACAGGAGCCACTTCTTCTACTGACTGTCAGAAACTCAGTGGAGAGTCAGCTATGAGTAAGTTTTGCATTAATTACAATGAATTACATCTGTAAAAAAAGTTGCTGGAGATTCTCAATACCATCAGTGAGAACATAACCAGAACCCAAGTTTGGGACAAATCATCAATTGCTGTCAAGTCAGTTATGACTTATAACAACTCTATGAACAATAGCTGTGAAGCCTGCCCTATCCTGAGTTAATCTCACTGCTTCAAACACATCTACCCAAATTACCGCAGTTATTGTGTCAATCTATGTCATCCAGAGTCTTCCTCTCCTGAGCTATCCTTCCACCCATCTAAGCATTATGTCCTTCTCTAAGAACTGATCTCTTCTGAAACATACTCAAAGTATATAAGATGAAATCCTTGCCTCCAAAGAGCAACTTTGTTTCACCCTCTCCAGGACAGATTGCTTGGGTTCTTCTGGTGTTCCATGGTATGTTCAATGTTCTTCTCCAAACCCATAACACAAAGGTATCGATTCTTCTTCTGTCATTCCTATTCATTGTCTAGGTCTCTGATGGATAACAAGTAATTTCAAAGACTCATATTCAAATACAAGTTAAAGCTGAAAAGAAAATGGAAACATATCTACAAGAGCAAAAAATACTAACACATCAATAAAATGCAAATACAAATAAAAAATATAAACACATCTGACCTAAACTCCAATATAATTGCAAGAATAGATTTGACACATTGACCATTAATTCTCAAATCCAAGAAACTTGTGAGATGACACAAAGATATGAGACAGAAAAAGAATAAATGATCATTAAAATGTCAGGAAAGAAAGAAAAGATCCAAATGGCATTATACGATATTCTGAAACATGCTCTATTTTTGTCATCGCTGGCACAGATAAATCTTGACTGAAATCAGAAAATATCAGAAGATGTTTTTACATCTTTAAATGAAGAAAATATTGAAGTTGCCCTGGATTTCATTTTACCCAAATCTACAAACAACAATCATGGAAATAATAGCCAAGAAATCAAATAAGGTGGTGTATCAGGAAAATCTGCTGCACAGAACCTCTTCAACAGTGGGGATATCACTTTGTGGGATAAGGAACAGTTTATGTAAGCCACAGCATTTTTAACCGAACTCATTTGCATGTGTAAGAAGGATAATGACTAACGAATACTGAAAAGCAAAAGTCTTTGAATTGTGGTTTGGTGAACGTATTGAATATGCCATATACTGCCAAAAGAAATAACAAATATGCCTTGGATGAAGTGTATCCAGAATACTTCTTAAAATCTAGGGTGATAATTTGTCTCACCTACTTTGGGCATGTTGCTATGAAGAAACAAATAATAGTTTAAGGGAGTCAAACACAGAGTCAGTTTGCATGCCTCAGGAGTTTAGGCTAAAGAAAAGGAAATCACTAGAAAAGTTTTAAATTCACTCTCATAATCATGAACCTTCAATGCATCCAGCCAACTTAAGCTTCGATTAAGAAAAGGTTTTCATAGTCAAAGGATAGTATCTGGATGAGGTGGAGCAAGACAGTCTCCTACATGGCTTTGGGCAGTAAACGATAAAGGGAGAGGGAGAAGGAGGACATAGATGTGGCATTTTCTTGATGCAAAACCCTATTCTCTGCCATCTGCCTCCAAGGCAAACTGGATCTGGAGACAAGAATACTCTAAGTACTCTGAGATACTTAGTGGCCAAAAACATCTTGCAAAAGCCCACCACATTACTTCCTAGATCCATTTTCACATGACTGGGAGATGACACACAAGTGCTTACCTTCTTCATTGCTGACACCTGGGAGGAGAACCGCTAACAATGTCAGTTTCAAAAACAGCATTTGCAGGTGTTCCTCTCTCTCAGCAAGGAGAATCTTTGATCTCTCCACAAGGCTTCCCCTAAGTATGTCTTTTTTAACTTCCTCCAACTGTCAACATACAATTGCCCTTTCCCTCACAGCCTATACTAATGAAATTCTACCAAATGCAGCAAACCTGAGCCTCCTACTCAAGCCTCCCATTTCCCCTCTAGCTCTGACTTTTTCTCACCCCCCACACACACACACAAAAATCCCAACCTTAAAATCCATTTTAATCAATGCCTTATGTAAAGAATTCCAGATAGAAACCTGTTTAGAACAATATTCTGTAATGTGTTGGCTGCCACTGCCCTGATAACTATCAATTGAAACTCTGGAAGTGTACTTCAACCTGGTGCCTGAAGTCTGTGTTAGATGGTGGTAGACAGGAAAATACAGCCTTCTAAGAAACTATGTATGTGAGAAGCCTTTAATTTTCGCACTGACTGTTGGGAGGTATATATAGATCTATATCTGTTGACAGAATCATTGGAAAAGCTCAACATCAGCAGTCAAAATTAGGTCGGTTCAGGCTACTAATTCATGTGCAATTTTAAATTGAGGCACAAGAAAATGAAAACAAATCCATATGTTCTTGAATCTATTCCATCTGAACTTCAAAATTATCTTAAGAATAGATGTAAAGCACTGAACACCAATGATCTAAGACCAGAAGAGTTGTAGGATAGATATCATCCATGAAGAGAACAAAAGAACAAAGAAAGAAAGGAAAAAAATAAAATGGATGTCATAAAAGACTCTGAAAATTGCACTAGAGTATCGATAAACCAAAACAAAGGGAAAACATACTGAAGTAAAAGAGATGGACAGAAGATTTCAAAAGGCAGCTCAAGAAGATAAAGCAGAGTATTATAGTGGAATGTGCAGAGAGCTTTAATTAGAATTGAAGAATAAAAAAGGGAAGAATTCACTCTGCATTTCTCAAGCTGAGATAATGTAAAAAAACAGATTTAAGCATCTAGTGGCAATTTTGAAGAGAGCCCTGGTGGCCTAGTGGTGAGAATCTATGCTGCAATCCTGAAGGCATGTGGTTCGAATTCACCAGTTGCTCTGAAAGAGAAGAATGGGCAATCTCCTCCTATGTGATTATCTGCCCCTGAAAACTCATGGGAGGGCCAGCTGTGGTAAACAACATCAATATGGGAAATATATTGAATGACCCAGGAATCATCAAAAGCATAAATCTGCTAGTGGGGACTTTTCCAGAGTCCTGAAGAGCAATGATGTTAATCTAGAGATTAAGGTGTGTCTGATTCAGGCCATAGTCTTTTGGATCCATTTCTATGCATCTGATAGCTGGACAAAGAATAAGGATGAGAGAAAAAGAATTTATGCCTTTAAGCTGTGGTGTTGGAGAAGAGCACTGAACATCTCATGGATAGAACAGATATGTCTGGGAGAGGGTGCAGCTGGAGTGTTCTTTGGAGGCAAGAATGATGAGGCTTCACCTCATATACTTTGGACATGTTGCTAGAAGGTGCTATTCCTTGAAGAGGGCCATGATTCTAGGAAGGATGGAAGGTCGACGAAAGAAAGGAACACCCTCAACCCGGTGGACTGACACAATGACTGCTTTAAAGGGCTTTTGTGTATCAGGAAGTGTTAGGATGGCACAGACTAGAACAGGACTCAGATCTTTCATTCATAGTATCACTAAGAGTTGTACTCGATGGCACCTAAAAACAACACAAAGCCAAGAAATCTGGAAGACAATCACCTGGCCAACTGACTGGAAGAGATCCACATTTATTCTCATTCTAAAAAATGGCAGCCCTGCAAAGTGTAGAAAATTATTGAACAATATCATAAATAAAAATGCAACCAAGATCCTGCTGAAAACAGAAAATGACTGGAACAGCACATCAACAGAGAACAGCCAGATGTACAGGCTGGGGTTAGAAGGAACTGTAGTATTAGGACTATTACAGCCAATGTTAAATGGATCTTTACTGATAACAGAGTACCAAAGGAATGTTTATCTGTGTTTCATTGATGGTGCAAAGGCATTTTACTGCATAGAGTGCAACAAACTGGCTGACTCTGAGAATAATGGGAATCCCATAATACTTGATTGTGCTTATGCAAAACCTATACTTGGACCACGAGGCAGTCGTCAGAATAGAGCAAGGAAACACTACATGGTTCAAAATCAGGAAAGGTGTACATAAGACATGCATAATTTCTCCATATTTTTTCAATCTATATGCAGAACAGATTACCCAGGAGGCTGGGCTTTATGAGGAGGAATGTGGCATCAGGATTGGAGAAACACTCATCAGCAATCTGCATTATTGTAGATGACACAACCTTGCTTGCCAAAACTGAGGAGGATCTGAGGCGTTTGCTCCAGAAGGTCAAGAACTGCAGTCTTCAATATGGATTGACACTTAACATCAAGAAAACAAAGATTCTCACCACCAGGCTGATTAGCAGAGTCATGATAGACAGTAAAGAGAATGAGATTGTTAGTACCTTCATTTGCTTGCCTCCACAATCAACATTCTTGGTAACAGCAGCCAGGAAACCCAAAGACTAATTGCATTGGGGAAAATCTGCTGTCAGGGACCTCACCAGAGTCCTAAAGAGAAATTATGTAAGCCTAGAGACTAAGGTGTACCTGATCCAGGAGGGTGATGGTCTTCACAATTACTTGGTATGCATCAGAGAACTGAACAATGACTAAGGATGATGGAAGAATCGATGCCTTTGAGTTGTGGAGCTGGAAAAGAGTATTGAATATACCATAGGTTGCTAAGAGAACAAAGAGTTCTATCCTGGAGAGGAGAGGGTGAACCTAGGCTATCTCTTGGAAGTAAGAATTTTGAAGCTTCGTCTGGCATAATTTGGGCATGTTGCAAGGAGGGACAAGTCTTTGTAGAGGGACATCATGCTTGGAAGGGTGGAGGGACAGCACGAGAGAGGAAGACCCTGAATGAGATTAATTGACTCAGTGACTAGGGTAATGACGGTAGGTGTGTCAGAGACTCAAGATAGAGCAGAGCTCAGAGCTATTGTACATAGGGTCACTGTGAGTCAAAGTCAATGTGATGGCACATAACAATATGCTTTAGCTATAAAATCTGTTTGAGATTAATGAGGCAACATTGATTATTAAGTTTTATTTCTATGATGTAGAATTTATCCTTCAATCTGATGTCATTTCCACAGCTATCTTGAATCTGCAAGATCAGTTTTGGTGACTTTTTTTCCCTAAGGTAAAATCTGAGTGACAATTGTTGCTAGGTACCACTGAGCTGAGTGTGACTTAATAATCTTATGTCTTTTTAATCTTTTTAAATCTCCTGGTTCTCTGATGAGTAGGAATGGCTTCACCGAGGTTGAAGCCTTAGTAAGATTTCCATCCACTATGAAATGATCGGGTTGTCTATTCTGTATATTAGAAAGTTGTTGTTGTTGTTATGCACTGTCGAGTTGCTTGAGACCCATAGCAACACTATGTACTGCAGTTCTGAAGCCTGCCCAGCCTGAGCCAGTCTCACTAATTCCAACACACCAACTTCAAATAGCCCCAGTTACTGGACCAACCCATCTCATCGGTGGTCTTCCTTTCCTGTGCTGTCTCTCCACTCTTCCGAGCATGGTATCTTTCTCCAGGGACTGATCCCTCCTGGCCATGTGCCTAAAATATGTGAGACAGAGCTTCAAAATCCCAGCCTCCAAGGAGAAACTTGGTTTCATCCTCTCCCAGACAGACCTATTTGTTTTCTTGGCAGTCCATTCAAAAATCTTTCTTCTTGCCCATCAGATGTCAAGTTACTTAGAGCTCTGTTCTGTGTTCCTTAGAGCTCTGCCTGTAAAACCCTACATACTATCTTCTCTCCCATGCTGTAGTTTCTCACAGCCAACATGGGTGCAAATGAGCCCCATCTGCTTTGCCATCACCTTTCAGACTACTGTGAATTAAAAGCTGCAAATTCTTCACTCTTAGCTTTAGCCTGCTAGAAAAGTGTCTATACAGAAAACCACCCTGCACTTTAATTATCTTGGGGATAATTAATCTCTTTCCCCACATTTTTACTTCATAATTCTGGAATTCTATTTGTAAGTGCTATTAACATAAATCTATTAATACAGATTTCTTGAGAAATCTATCTAGCCAGTACAAAAATTTTACTTCTTCTAGTCAACAGTCTGTTAACTTTCACACAGAGTTAGTTAAGCAGTCAGTCACTTTATTAATATTGAGCTCAGAGGGATGGACATTCTCCTCCAATGTGATTATCTGCCTCTGAAAACCCACCAGAGGGTCAGCTATGTGTCAGCTCCGACTCGACAGTACACAACAAAAACAGTATGAAGTGTGCAATGTTTCCTATATTTTCTCTTTGAATCAAATCAGTTGTATGTTGCATTACATTTGAGAATTTCCTTCTCTTTGTGTGGATCATCATTGCTTACCTCAAAGACGTTACCAATAATTTTGATCAACTCTGTGTTGGTTTTCAGCAACTCTCTCACTTAATTCAAATCACTTTTTGGAAGTATGGAGGACATTTGCTCCACACATTCCACCAGAGAGAGCACAGTAGCAGCATCCCAGTCCTCGCTGGATGGAAGGCAGGGAACCAGTGTCTGTTGGGGAGACACTGTGCTCACTTTCCGAGACCCAGTAGCCTTGACACAGTCTGGAGTCACCAGCAGTCTGCAGTGCTTAGTTCCCCACCATATCTCAGTTCATCTGTCCCAAGCTCTGCACACAAGTGGTGGTGGCACATTTTGGAATTTTTAAAAGGGGTTCCCAGGAATTCCTATTCCTCTCATAACTACTACAGGATATCCCCACCCATGTTGATGATTCTTCAGGAAATTTATGAATGGGTATGCTGTGGACAGGAAGGGTTGTCAGTGGCTGATTAAAAAGACCAAGGTTTGTAATCCAGACTCAACTCTCAAAGCATTTTGTAATCTAAAGTTAAGAGGCTTGCTAGACATGCCCACAA